TACTTGAATGCGATCATGAGTGGGGTTTGATGGAGCATCTTCTGGTCATCCTGACTGGACAGAATGGAGGTTTTCAATAATTTGCCCTCGTAATGTATGTGGTCAAGGTAAAGTGGGTCAACCACTGGTAATGATGATGATGGTGGTGTTGGTTGTGATGATGATGATGGTGGTGGTGGTGATGATGATGATGTGGATGATCGTGATAATGATGAATTTTTAATTGTTTGATCAATGTATTTTGTTTAATTGGCTGATTAGTTGGCTGACTGGTTGGTTGATTGGCTGGCTGATAGGCTGGCTGAATGATTTGCTGATTGATTGGTTATGTGAGTGACAAATCAACTTTCTGTTTACTAAGGACAATTAAAGTTCATCATCATTATCATCATCACGATCGTCGTCGTCATCATCACTCACACATTTGTATAGTCCAGTTTTTTACGATCTTTGGTTGGTAGGGCAGGTTGACCAGCTGGACCCTGAAGGTCCCCCCAACGATACCGAACAGGTTCATGTCGTAGTAGACCGTCGGGTTCTCCTCTACATACATTTCCTCAGGTGCTGAAGATGGCGATGATGATGATGATGATGATGATGATGATGATGATGATGATGATGATGACAACTATGGTAGTGATGACGATGATGATGACGACGACGATAACAATGATTAGATCGGTCTTGATGATGATTATACATAATAATAATAATAATAATAATAATAATAAGAGGAAGAAGAAGAAGAAAAAGAAGAAGAAGAACAAATAATAATAATAATAACATTATTAAATAATAATAATAATAAATTTTATTACGTGGGGTTTTTAGCTGGTACTTTGCCAAGTTAATCTCCTCTTCCTCGTCCGCAAAGTCGTCCAACTCTTCATCATTTTCCGCCTCATTCTGCTCCACAATTATAATTATAACTATAATTATATTAATTATTATAATTATAACTATAATTATATTAATTATTAAAGTTATAACTATAATTATATTAATTATCATAATTATAACTATAATTATATTAATTATTGTAATTATAACTATAATTATATTAATTATTATAATTATTTTATCATCATCGTCGTCGTCGTCGTCTTCTTCATCGTCATTATCGCGGTGGTCATCATCACCTCCGATTTTTTGTGGCTGATGGCTTTAATCTCGTGAACGAAAATCTTCGGCATGTTCCTATGCCTATCCTGCTTCATGTCAAGGTCGATGCTGAGAGTGTTGGCAATGATCTTGGGGTCATAGGTCGACCTCCGGCTTGTTATGCTGACCGACGTTCCTGATTGGTTTGTTGGTTGGTTGAGAAGTTATTTTTAGCAATGCTAACACAACAGCACAGTTATTGCGGAGTTCATACTGACTGATTACAATGCAACTTGCAACAAAAACACGACGATGAAGCACACACACTGAAACGCAAGAAAATACACAAACCACACCACACACGCCAAACCACACACCACACACGCCACATCACACACGCCACACCACACACGCCACATCACACACGCCACACCACACACGCCACACCACACACGCCACACCACACACGCCACATCACACACGCCACACCACACACGCCACACCACACACGCCACACCACACACGGCACATCACACACGGCACATCACACACTTCACACCACACACGCCACACAAACCACACGGTGTAACAGACCGCTCTGAGTACTCATATAGCTGCCGAAGGAGCGAATGGATGACATGAAGTTATCCAACTGCTCCTGTATTATCCCGTTGTTCAGCGTTGTCTTGACAATGTAGTGGGAACAGGGATTGAAATCCATAAAGACTAAAAGGATTGCTGCGTGGGTGGGTTGGGTGAAGGTTGATTGGTAGATTGATTAATTGGTTGGATGAAGATTTGGTTGGTTGGTTGGTTGATTGGTTGACTGGTTGGTTGTGTGATTGATGTGATTGGTTGGTTGGTTGATTGATTGATTGGTTAGTTGGCCAATTGATAAATGAATAAATGAATGAATGAATGAATGAATGAATGAATGAATAAATGAATGAATAAATGAATGAATGAATGAACGAATGAATGAATGATGGAATGAACGAATGGACAAACCGCAACTCAGTCTGCTAATAAATGGATTGATTTCACAAAAAATACTCCTCTCTTCAAATTCAAAACTTCGTACCCTGTTAAATTTAATGAGACATTCATTCATTCATTCATTCATTCATTCATTCATTCATTCATTCATTCATTTATTCATTCATTCATTCATTCATTCATTCATTCATTCATTCATACATTCATTCATTCATTCATTCACTCATTCATTCATTCATTCATTCGCTAATTTACTCAGTCAATCCAGGAACCTAGGATTTTTGGAAATATTTCCCCAGACGCAATAGAACATCTTGTCATTTTTAGCAGTGTAAAAGAAGTCATTATCTTGTAGGGTGTTGGATTTGGCATGGAGGAGAAGGTTGTATGTACAAGCTTCAAGTTTGTAATCGAAGAGATTCGCTATCTCTATCTCTGTCTGTATGTGTGTGTGTTTGTTTGTGTGTATTTGTGTGTGTGTGTTGTTGTACCTGTGTGTGTTAAATATTTGGTCGGTTTATTATATATATATAAATACAACGTAAAAACCATTTTAATCAGTCATCATCAACATCGTCTTCATCATCGTCACCATCAACAACAAACATCATCATCATCATCGTCCTAATCATCAACATCAACAAAACATCATCATCATCATCGTCCTAATCATCAACATCAACAAAACATCATCATCATCACCAACAAAAACATCATCATCATCACCAACAAAAACATCATCATCATCACCAACAACAACATCATCATCATCACCAACAACAACATCATCATCATCATCATCAACAACAACATCATCATCATCATCACCGTGTGGTAGGTGCAGAGTTGACCGTAGCTTCTGTCTTTCAAGCTCTTCTTCAAATCCAATTCATCCACGAACTGATGATCAATCAATCAATCAATCAATCAACCAACCAACCAATCAATCAATCAATCAATCAATCAACCAATCAATCAACCAACCAGCCAACCAACCAACATTTTGTAGGACAACAGCCAGTTTGAGAAAACCCTGAACTGTTTCGTTACTCTTCTTCTCCTTCATCTCCGCCAGGAAAGTATTTATGAGGGGAAGGTTTACTGGATTTGGGGGCCGGTCAGGGTTTACCAGGGCATCCCACTGATGGTGATGATGATGGTGATGATAATGGTGGTGATTATGATGATGATGGTGATGATGATGATGGTGACGACGACAATGATGATGAGGAGGAGGAGGATAATGATGATTGATGATGATGATTATGATGATGATTATGCTGCTGCTGCCAATGATGATGATGATGGTGATGGCATAAATTTGTTAATTTAACTTACGTCTTTCTGTTCTTTCTCATTCAAGTTGAGGGTGAGATTGTTGAGGTTAAGTTTAGTTTTTAGCATTATCAACTCAGGGATTTGGGTCCTTATCTTTTTAATCTCCTTTTGAGTTTAAATTTATTTAATTAAATTATAGTAGTTAATAATGAAAAAATAATCATCATCATCATCATCGATCGCACTCTTTCTCTCACTTTTTACCTCCTTCTCTCTCTTCTTCCTCTCCTTATTATCCTGTTTCTCTTGCTCTCTCATCTCAACATCTTCCTGTTCAGCCCTCAATCTTGCTTCTTCTGTTAAAATTATTTATAATTTATGCGTAATTATTTATAATTTATGCATAATTATTCATGCATAAATCATATGCCTAAATAACCTTCTTCTTTCGCTCTCTTTTCCTGCTCTTCTTTATTTTTCCTACTTTCAGCTTTAGAGCTTGTTTTCTTGAAATAATAAAAAATTAAATAATTAATAGAAATAATATAATTTATAAATAAAACAATTTTCTGAAATGTTAAATGAATATTAAATGACTTAATTAAATAATTAATTAGTATATTAGTATTAAGAAGAAATAACGTTCGAGTTTTATGGCTTAATTTGATATTTTTAATCGAAGATATTGACCGTATTACAACAGTCCAGTTATGAAAAGAGGATATTGCTAATCAGGCGAGGGTCAGTCAAAGTTTTTTGGCCCCATCATGCGGAAGGAAAGAATGGAAAATCTAACAACTACTGAAAAGATTGCAGAGAAAAGAAATCGCGTTCAACAACGAATAACATTTGTAAAATCCTTGCGTCACTTGCTGAATATCACTATATTTCAATTCTTACGAAGTGTTAAAGATTGGGTTTTATGGAGGTCGATGGTCGCCAATGTCCTGAAATTATAATTACATGAAAGAAAGAAGAAGAATTGAAGATAGAATCGTAATTTATGTAAATGTTACTGAAATAATACATTTAACAAACTCGCAATTTAATACTCATTATAGTTTATTATATATAAATATAATATATGAATAATTATATAACAATTATAATTTATAATATATAATAATTATAATTATAATAAAGGTTATAATTGTGGCTAAATAAAGACCTTAGTTGATTTTGCATTATTTGGGATTTTAGCCTTTTTAGTAGAAGTTTGACCTCTGGTTTTAGCCATTTTTTTTGAAATGTTGATTAGTTATTTAGAAATTATACAATATTTAATTTATTTAATTATAAATGAATTAATTTATTTCTATAATTTGACAAATAAATGATTTTTTGACGATTACATTAGCGATTTTTAAATCAAGGCGTCAAAGAAAATATCCATGACAACAGGTTATTTAAAAAGTATTGGATATTATTTTTAACAATCCAAAATTTACTCAAGTTATAATAAAATGCATTTTTTATTATAAAATAAATAAAATTAATAAAAAAGTATTTATTTAATTAGTATATGTATCCTTTGGTTATTTTATCACAGTTGTAAAATAACAAAGAAAAACTATATAGATATGTTAACTTGTTGTGGTAGTTAGTAAAACCGCTCAGGTTTAGAC